AACTACCAGCAGCTGCCCGTCAACGCATCGCGAACGTCGTACCGGGCCGGCAATTTCCAGCGTGACGGCCAGATGGCATTTTTCAACCAGGGCGCTCGGCCAAACTACCTCTCGTCCATCGACCCCATTTCCTTCCACAAGAGGACTGTCGACCACGACAGCGTGCACGCGCACTTCACGAGCGAGGCCGTGACGTTCCTTTCGCAGATTCGCCCTGAAGATTTTGTGGCGCCGCGCGCGCTCTGGCGAGATGTCTTTGACGATGCCGCCAGGGAGAGGTTCATCAGCAACGTCACGGGTAAGATGGCCTCGTGCAAAAACGACGAATTGCTGAAGAGGCAGATTGCCATCTTCCGAGAGGTCGATCCCGAGATTGCACAGCGGCTTGAGAAGAGCACGGGTGTCAAGGGATACGAGGGCATCAAGGATATGAAGTTCAATGGCACGCACAATGGCATGACTGAAGATCCAAAGGTCAAGTTCGCCAACGGTATTAGTGCGACTGCATGCTCGAGTGCTACAGATGGAAATGGCGCACCGAAGAGGGGCCTGCACCGCGGATCAAATGGAACGAACGGGACAAATGGTGTGAATGGGCATTAGCATAGCTTGAGATTTGGGTATCGCGTTCTATTTTGATCACGAGCTTCTTGTCCTGCAAGTACAATAGCAGGACAATAGTGAGGAGTTGAACAATATGAAACAACATTCAGTAACAGTTGCAGAAGAGCAAACAGGGTATTATTTGATTACATTATGATGCTATCCAACGCGGATTACGTATTCTCACTTCGCAAGGGGTGATCTCGCGATTTGTATTAGCAGACGAGACGATATGATGATCTATTTACAGAACGACGTGCACGCTCTTCGCAACACTCGGCACACCCTTGGCAGAGATTGCAAATAGGTAGTAGTACCCTGGCAGCAGCACGCCACGGTCAGTCGGCAGCGTGACCGTGTACTTGCCATTCTGCGCCCGGAACCTCTTGAGTGGGATCCGGCGCTGGTCACTGTTGACGGAGTGGGTAACGGTACCAGTGCGAATGAGCGAGAAGGAGGCAACATTGCCCTCAACGTCGAACGACAGTGTCGCGCCGGCCGAGACGGCCTCCTGCGCAAGTCCTGAGATGGCGGGTCGCGCAGCCGCGCTGCCATCGTCATTGAAGAGGTAAGGCGGCGAGAAGACTTCGCCGTCGGCATGGTCAGCAGCCTTATTGCAGCCGGCAGTTGAGCCGCCGATAGTCGAAACATAGCAAAGACCGCCGCCGCCCGTGAACACAGTGGCGTCGGGGAGCAGGATGGACACAGAGTGGTAATTGCGTGGCACGGCGGCGGCGGCGAGCTGAGTCCAGGTCTTGGTCGTGGGGTTGAAAAGCTCAGCGGTCAGAACAGCGTCCGTATTGGTGAAGACAACGGCGCGTCTCTGGCCACCCGTTACGAGGACGGTGCCATCGGGAAGCACAACGGCGTTGGCGAAGCCGCGCGGAGAAGACATATCGGGGACTCGCTCAACGACTGAAGGGGCATATGCCTCGCCGATGGTTGTGATGTGCGCCCGTGCCGTGGCATCGCTGTCAGTGTACTCGGGAGCGCCGCCTGCAGACAGGATCTTACCAGCAACAGCGTCGTACATAGCCCACACACCGCACATGGCGTCATCGTCATCGCGTGTGCCGGCCTTGACGACAGAGCCCTCGCCCTCGGTACTGTACCAGTGCTGGTCTAGCGAAGGACCGGCTTGGAAGATGGATTCGTTCTTCCACCCAAAGAGCCAGGCATGGTTGTCCTCGCGCCACACACCCTCGTGGTCGGTCGTCATCATGGGCTTCACATCGGCGCCGGGGAGGTATCTCCACTCCTGGTTGTCGGTGTTGAAGACTTCGCCGTTCTTGGCCTCTCGGCTGCCGGCATAGGCACCTCCGATGGTGAAAACGTGACCATTGGACATAATGGCAGACGTTTGGTAGCCGCGAGCTACTTTCATATCAGGCCCGCGCGTGAACTCATTGGTGGCTGGGTCGTAGATGCTGACTGCTTCGGCATCGGAGCCACCTTGCACCATAACGCGACCGTCTTCAAGCTGGCTGATGCCGGGGCAGAACATATCGTGGTGTGTGTTGGCGACCTCGCGATCCGATACAGCGCCTGTTGCGAACTCATAGTCACCGAATTGCGTCTTACCCGAAGCGCCACCGAAGGCATCCTTGCCCCAGGACGAGAAGAACAGCATTTTCGCGGGCTCGGGATACGCCGGCACGATGTAAGCGGCAACGGGGATCAACGGCAGCTTGATAACATCAGACCACTGCCCGATCTTGGCCGCAGTTCCCTTGGGCGTTTCCGGCTTCGTGTCGACGGGTTCGTTGGAGTTCTTGTTGTCATCTGCCGCACCGGTCTTCGTATCAATGGAGATGAAGCGTTTGTCCTTAACCCAATCTAGCTTGACATTGGATCCAGCCTCCTTGACGTAGCAGATCTTGTCCTTGACATCGTAGACGGCTTTCTTGCAGTCCTTGGTCTTGGCGCAGGTGTCCGCACAGGCATGCGGGCTGGGCGTGTTGCGAAACGTGTGAGCGTTGGGTCCGGTGTAATCTGTATTGACGCAGACGGTAAAGAATGTCTTGCCTGAGCTGTAGCCCGCGCCCGTGTTGGGGCACGTTTCGATAGGAGTGCCATCGTCGAGCTCGCTGCCATGATCGCGGTGGATCACATCGAAGCCGTTGTCGTCTGCCCAGTCCATCTCGGCCGTCTTGTCATTGTTTTTGAGGTGGCACATTTGGTTCTTCTTGTCGTAGACGGCCTTCTTGCACCGGAAGTCCTTGATACAGAATTTCAGGCATTCTTGAGTTGAGGGCACGCAGTTGTGAACCGCAAGGCTGCCACCGCCGTTCTTGTAGTCTGTGTTGTCGCAGATGCCGTATTGTGCGCCTTCGGGGGTTATCCAGACAGTTTCGTAATTGGGGCACTGGAAGAGATGCGCTGCTGCTGGTGTAAACAGCGAGAGGGCAGCCCACACAACGGCTGCCTTTGTGAAGGACGCATACGCCATCTTGAGAATTAAGAGTCTGGGTTGATTTATTTTCGAAGCGAATGTGTGATGAGTCGAAGCTCGAGCATGGAGGGATAAGAATTCTTAATGAGTGGGTGAGTGAATGAAATATCCGAGACTGTGAGGGAGGCCAATGGCTCGCAATAAGTGAATGATGCCCTCGCGGGTGAATGAATGAACAGTGCACGCGGATAAGGTGAGAAACAAGAAAGGCAAAAATCGGAAAAAGTAGCAAGTAAAGAACGAATATGAGGCAACTCGAACCCACGTCAAAAACGACAGATGAGCGTGAAGGAAACCAAAGGGACCAAAAGCCAGAGGTGAAGCAGGACAGGCATGACACGATATATCATCAGAAACCCTGGCTCTTCGTTGTGTCAAGGTCTCCTGGGATAGGCACCCACATGCACCATTCACTCCGTTATTTCTATCGCAAGGTCCGAGAATGTCCCTGGTCTCGCCCACCTCGTTCACAAGTGTTCATAAGATTGATTCCACCATCGCATCACACCGCAGTCAACAGTGGACAATGGGTCCAATACGAGAGAGTCAAGCCAATAATGGAAGGGGCTCGAGCCTGTGCTCGACCATTATCGTCCAAACCCATCAATTACCCTTGACTTGGCGCCTTAGCTTACCAGCCCTACTCCCAGCTGAAACAGAACCGGCTGTGCCTTAACCCCACGTGGATGCCATTCTCGTCAGGACGTTGACTCGACCTTACCTTGTCGGGCTTCGAACATGGAGCCAAGAGAGCCCGCAGGTGCATAGCATTTTATGGACATGGGTTCAGTGTTGCACATCGCTGGTTCCGGGGGCCGGGGTCCCTCTTTAGCCCTGTTCTCGGGCCAAACACCGCTGCAAAACTGTCGGCCCTGCCGCCTCTCGGCCGATGGGGCGGTCCCTCAATGCATGATTTCATTTCGTCGGTGTTCCCCATATGGACCCTGCGTTTTGTCAATACTAATCTTTGAGACAAAGTCATATGGCAAGTTCTCATCTCTTGATGTCTATGTTGCTCGTCAAGCCTGGTTGGCATTCAGTGGTCATTTCACTTGATGCTCAACGGGCTGATATCACATTTTGCGACCATCGTTCAGTTCCGAACCTATTGGTCTCTAAGGGCGTGTAAGTAGTTTCTAAAATAATAGAAAGCTTCCTGGCGACTTTGTATTGCGAACTTTTCACATAAAATGTCGAGCGAAGCATCCGTCCCCGTGTACGTGAACCGGACTTGCTAGTCTACTGGCTGCCTGGCTCTGATCGGCCATCCTTTTGGGACCGCCACTGGCAGTCTATCAAGACCCGATCGACATTTTGTTTGATATTCATATCGTAGCCAATAGCTATCGATAGATAGTAGAACCTTCATGTCCCTCTCGCCAGAGCTTGATTCGAGCCGCATCGTGACTTAGACCAGCAAGCAGCCCGGTCAGAACACGCCCAAGAAAATCAACGCAGTTCTTTTGACGAAGAATACTTCCGCAGCCACAACAAATACAAGTGACTACTGTTATCCCAAGAGACCAAGACCTTGGCTAGGTCGTAGCTGTCATTCGGAAAGTTAGTCACTCGTGGACTCAGTGTAATCACTTGAGACATGTACTGGTCGGAAGACGAAGGAATCTGCATGGCTTTTCTTCAATTCCCGGTCAACTTGGCATAAGGTGTCACCAAAAGCATCTCAACAACCTATGTATCAGCTTCAGTGTACTCCAAAGCTAGCTAGTGGGCTGTCTCGATTGTGGGGAGGACTGTCGTCCGGAAATGGACGGATCATCGCAGCTCAAATAAGCTTTCAGCTCGATATGTGAGACGACCAAATCCTTGTCTCGTCATTCTCAGAAAGTTCTGCCAACCTTCAGAATCTGGGATGTGAGGCTTTGGTCTGGGCTCGCTGTGTCGCTAGCTCAGCAAAATGCGACGAATCGCTGCAATTCGACACTTCATGTTGCCTGTCACCTCGCCCCTTCTGCTTCGACAGCAGGCCACATCCCACGTCCACCGGCTTAGCCGAGGGCGACAACGGCCTGCCAAATGGAGAGCGCCAGAGGCTGTTTGCCCTGATGATTCAGTCAGCGGCGCCAGCGCCATTCTGCACGCACTTCAGGCCGCAGGCGTCACTCATCTCTTCGTCAATCTCGGCTCGGACCACCCGGCTTTCCTAACGGCGTTTGCTACGAAGGCGTATCCCCGGGTCAAGGTCGTCACTTCGCCGAATGAGATGAATGCGCTTTCGGCAGCCTCGGGCTATGCAATGATCACTGGGAGGCCAGCAGCTGTACTCGTCCACGTCGAATGCGGCACACAGGCTTTGGCGGGCGCAGTGCACAATATCAGTAAGGGCCGCTTGCCGGTGGTGATAGTTGCCGGTACCGTGCCTATTACGATGGAAGGGGAGCTACCGGGGAGTCGTAACGAGTGCGTGGTTCCCCTTGTCTGACTCATGGAACATTACTGACGGTGACAGATGTGAGTGAGCACACCTGCACGAGTGCCATGTATCGACTGACCGTAGGCAAAGATATTCACTTTATCCAGGATATCCCAGACCAGCGCTCTATCGTTCGTCAATACATGAAGTATGATCATGAGATCCGATCACCACACAATGCTGTACAGATTGTGCTCCGGGCTCTTCAGATTGCGACAAGTACGCCACAGGGGCCAACATATCTCATCGCATCGCGAGAGACACTCGAAGCCCAAACATCAATCCGTAGCATCAAGCCTTCGCAAGATGCAGAGAAGAATCTCTGGGTGGAGAAAGTTGGCCTCCACATGCAAGACGTCGCGCGCTTGGGCGACATTCTCATCAGGGCCAAGTCCCCCCTAATCGTGACGAGTTACGCCGGCCGGGATCCTGCCGCCTTCAAAGCGCTTCACGATTTGGCCCGGCGCCTCGCTATCCCCGTGCACGAGAATGCGCCGGTGGTGAACAATTTCCCGACGACCAGTGTCCTCCACCAAGGCCATACATGGAACGGCGGCGGGCAGCTCAAGGCCTTGGCTGAAGCAGACGTGGTCCTCGTCGTCGACTCGGATGTTCCATGGATTCCATCCGAGTCGAGGCCGAGCGATGCGGCCCGCATCTTCCACCTCGACTGCGATCCTCTGAAAAGCAGCGCCACACTCTGGAGTCTTCCGGCTGAGAAGCGTTGGATGTGTGATACGTCGGTGGCTTTGAAACAGTTGGATGAGTACATCAAAATGAGCCGGGAACTCTTTACTGAAGCTACAAAGGGTAGGATCGACGTCAGGTTATCTTTGTTGGCACAGCGGTTCGAGGCACGAACGCGGAGACTCGAAGCAGAAGAAGTGGCATCTTCAGATGGAAAGGTCACGGTGCCGTACTTTATGAGCCGCTTCCGCAAGGCGACAAAAGGTCTTGACGTATTAGCACTCAACGAGAGCACGACCAATCTTGGCAAGGTCGCTGACCACCTACGGCACGACCAACACAACTCGCTGGTGGGCAGTGGTGGCGGCTCGCTCGGGTGGTATTCTGGGGCTGCTGTCGGCGTGGCCATGGCGTTGAGAGAAGAGGCGGCTGTGGGTGATGCGGCCGACCGTCTTGTCACGGCGTTTGTGGGAGACGGAACGTTCCTATTTGGGGTACCTGCCAGTGCCTACTGGATGGCCATGCGGTATGCGACGCCGTACCTGACCGTCATCTGGAATAATGGCGGCTGGACGAGCCCGAAGAATGCCTGCTTGAGGATTCATCCTGAGATGAAAGAGTTTGTGCCACGCAGCGATGGCGAAGGGCGGCATGGTGACAGCAGGGCATCAGCCTTGGCCGAGGCGATGGGCGTCAGCATTTCGCCGTCACCTTCGTTTGGAAAGATTGCCGAGGGTGCCGGTGATGCTTGGTGGACAGTCGTGAAGAGGGCAGACGAGGTTGATGGAGCCATCGCGGAGGGCGTTCGGGTGGTGAGGGAGCTCAAGCGATGTGCATTGATTGAGGTGGTCATTGCCAGTGTATGATGCTGTCGCTTGGTGGGATCTCTCGGTGAAGATGGGTGTGGGGCGTTTCGGTCAGGGTCTCGGTGTAAGGTGCTTTGAAGCTGTGCAGAGTAGTCCGCATCTGGCTTAGCGCGCTCACAGCCGATCCGTATTGTGCACCAGCCTCTTCTTTCTGTTGTTTTCCAGCCACAGCCTTGTCCTGTCTCGGTCGAGCTTCCTCTCATCTGGAGCCTTCCGCCTTCCCTTCGCTCGTTGTCTCCTCCAAGGCACCACAACAACATTGTTGTCTGTCCCTCGCTTCTTCGCCGACCACACAGCGGTGCCAATTCCGATTACCATCGCAATCGCTTACTCCTAGTTGACGAAAGGCGCATCATCGGGGAATACGTCTGCACGCCGTATCATCCGCCAATTGAATCACGACAACCATCTCAAGCTACCTCCCCCGCGTCAACCTCCTCCGCCATAGTCACCAGCAACATCCCTTCTCCCTTGGCTCCCCGTACATTCCGTCGCACCTTACCTTGGCCTGGAATCTTGTCCTCTACTTTCATCACCCATTGTCACTCTGCACTTGTCTCGACCACCTTTTCGAGCAGTCCTGGCCGATCAGTCATGTCCGCCGACGCGGAGGTAGCTGCTCAGCTGCCCAACGGCTTGCTCGATAATCGCTCTGCCCAGGACCAGGATCCCGTCACCCCTCCCGACAATGACAGCGAGATTCTCGCACCGAACTCGCCTCTGCCGTCGACCGAAGCGCCGCCGTCACCCATCGATGAACCAAGTGCTTCTTTCAAGACTGAATACAACGATGACAGACTCGCCTCGTCAGCCATTATCCCCTCATCTCTGACACCGCCACCGTCCTCTCAAGTGCCCTCTCACGCCCGCAATGGCGTCCTGCCGAGCGCTTACATCGCTTCCCAACGCTCTACCCTTTTCTCTCCTCCCGCCACGGGGCTCGCCGCTTTTCGACCAGCAGACGTCGCTCTGGCCGCCGACTACGTGCCACCTGCACCTCAGCAGGTGCTTGAGGCGACCGCCGACGAGCTGCGCGCCATGATGCAGACGTGCATTGCCGAGCAGGCGAGGCTCAAGATGGAGGCGGCCCACCACAAGCTGCAATACAACCTGCTGAGTCTGCAGGCCGATGAGGATGCGAAGCGGGCTGAGGTTGAATTCGAAATGATGAGGCGGGAGGTGGAGGCTCTGAGGACGGCCGAGTACTCTCAGCATGCCCGCCGGGAGCTCAGTGCTGCTACCGAATCAGCCCAGCTCAAGTACCTGCAGATGAAGACGCTGTTTGAGGATTCCGTCGAGGAGAACCGTACCCTGAGCCGAAGATTCAAAATGGCCAAGAAGCTGGTCTCGCAGAAGGAGGAAGAGATCACGAGCCTCAGCGAGGAGAGGGATATGCTTCTCAACCGCATCCGCGAGAACAGAGAACACTTTACCATGCTCTGCAACCCCGGCGGCATGTTCCACGGGGCCATGACGCCGACTAAGGCGTCACAGAATGTGTCGACCCCCCAGCAGGTGCGGGCGCCAACACGACAGGCGCCCAAGACGGTGCCAGACATCCGAACGGCTCCCTCTCCCGGCCAGGAGCCCATGGCTGCCCTTCTCCAAGCGCTAAGCCAGGACAACAACAGCGCTCCTTCCACGCCTGTTGCCGCAGCTCGCCCAGTTCCCCGTCTGTCGGCGAAGCACACGCGCAACGCCCAGTCCCTCTCATCGCTGCCCACGACGCCCGGCTACAAGCCTCGTGGTGAACACATGGGGCTCCTGCCGTCAGTTGACCTTGTGCCGCAGACCGAGCCGCCTGCACGTTATTCCAACAGGCAATTCGCACCGCCGTCGCCGACACCACGACGCGAGCGTTTCCACAAGAGCCGTGAGAGCACCATTTCGGCCGTCGACGACAATGAAGAGCTTGCCAGGCAGGCCCTCGAATCCGTTGCAAAGTCAGCTTCGTTTCTCTCGCAGGCCTCTCGTGGATCTCAACGCGGCCCTCGGAGGCCGCTGCCGAACAATGGCGAGCACGACGACGATGATGAGGCATTTGAGAGCCAGGCGAGCCAGGCGGCGTCGGAGATGTTGCGCAGGGATCCACGCTCGAGCTTTGAGATCGCGAGCGAGGCCCGGAGCGGGACACCAGCGGCAGCGGAGAAGAGCGCGAGGCTGCAGGCGAAGCTCCTGTCGGGCATGGCGGGGGGCAACGGAGGCGAGAAGAGGAAGTTCAGCGGCGGCATCCCACCGCCCGAGGATCTAAGGCAGATACAGGCAAGCCCGCCCAAGAAGCTGCGCGTCAGCACGCAGGTTGGTGACGGCTCGAGTGTGGGTCTGGGGATACAGTATGGGCAGCATTAGCACGACATGTGCGACTATTTGCATTTTTACGAGTATATCTTCGGATATCCTTTGATGACTGATACGACATTTGGGAAAAGGAGTTTGGATGGGTTTGTGGTCACGACGGGAAGAGTGACACATTTTGGCGATAAATTGATTGATAGCTTGGACTGCCAGCTCCTATCGACCTAGCTAGAGCAACTCCGGGTATGGAGTTGAACAGACTAGGGCAGCCATGTCTGCTGGGAAGAGGAATACACTTCATGATGACAGCCTCAGCTTTGTTGCGCCAAGTGCCGTCCGTGTGATAGTGTCATTCAGCAGCACAGCATTCTTTAGGCCACCAACGGGCGTCGATCTTGACAGGCGATCAGCATCAGCCACGAGTCGCATACTCTCAGATAGCTTCCAAGCTAGAGCGCTCCTTTGTTACCAAGGACGATGAAGATCGAGCAAAGATGACTGTCACGTGTAATAGCACATCAGCGTCGTCCCAAAAGCAGGGCCACTTTGCCTTGGACCGCCCGCACCACACGCACATCACACCAAAGGCGTCACGACTAGACTGACTCGCGGGCCCTGGTTGAGCTTAAGCCAATGCTGATGCTGGCCGCTGGCCGGCACTTCCCTCCTCCCCGCCCCTGTCAAGCTCCGTGATCGATCCCTCCCCCGCCTTGCCACTCGCATCTCTCCACCACTAGTCGCCGCCGGTTTCCCCAAGCTCCGAGCCAATACTCGCTGTTCCCCCCTTCGAGCCAATGCTGTTTTCCCCGATCCCCCTAGGGAGCTTTGACTGGGAGCATCTCTTTAAGGCTGCACGTTTCCTTGCGCGCGTGTGCGATTCCCGGGGTCCCCGTCGCTGTAAGGAACCAATTTATGCGGTCTCAACCTGGCGTGGCAGTGCAGCGCAGTCTGTCTGTTGAGCACTCTTCTCGAAGCCAGTTTCCATTGTCCGACTGACTGACTGGCATTAGCCTAAACTTGGCGCTCGTCTCCCATTCGCGCCCTCGTACCTTTTGTCCAACCACCCTGACTTGTTCGTGAGTAAGAGGGTGGTCGTTGGTATACAAGGCGCACCTCGACGCATGACACGCTCGCCATGAGCGAGAGTGTGTCGGCTGCCAAACGGCGGCAGCGCCGGATCCCGGACGAGTTTCGTAAGAGAAACGCCCAGAGCTGCGACCTCTGCAGAAAGGTGAGCTCTGTTCAAGAGTCATGGTGCCCCGCGGACATCACGGTCCACCGTGGTACCGATGCTGGCAGGGGACTGACGATCTGCAGCGAAGATGCCGTTGCGTGCCTGCGCCGGATGGCCAGGGATGTGTCGCTTGTCATGAGCACAACGTGCCGTGCGCTTATACGACGCCGCGGAAGACGCGGTTTTATGGGAGTGTCGACGATTTGAGCGATCGGTACATATATCATTTCACTTTTGTTTACGTTTCTCTCTTAGCCGCTATGCCTTCGGGTTGACTGACGGAATAGATATCGCTGTCTCGATGCCATTGTCAAAGGAGCGTTTCCCAACGATTTGACCGCGACGGCGGAGGATCTCGTTGAGCTTGGCCGGCGCATGGGGTATGCCATGCCGGACTTCTCCCAGCCGCGGAGAAAGGGCGTCAAGATTGAGGATCTCGTGCGCGCTCCTGATCCTGTGGGTTCTTCCCGGCACAACTCGGTTGCTGAATCAAGGATCTCTGGCTCGGAACTGGGTACCGGGTCTAAGGCGCCAAGCGAGGTCGGCACCGACGATGCTACCTCTGCTGCTGCTGCTGCCTCGGGGGCTGAGGACGCTCAGCTGTCGCTGATCAGAGACACCTCTGGCAATGAGCATTACATCGGTCCCTCGGGCACTCTCAACTTTCTGAGCCAGCTGAGGCGACTGATGGTCAGCAGCGAGGGAACGCCTGAGGCCCAGCCCGAGGTTGTCACCAAGTTCACGCAGGACGATACGGCACAGGCGCTCGAGGCTGATGATTCGCCTGGGGCGCCCGGGGCCCTAGACCCGGCGACACAGACGGACGGCCCCCTCGACGGACCTTCCCCGGCTTCCGTCACTTCGGTCACGTCTATCGCCAAGGACTTTACGCGCATGCCGACTGTTGACCTTGATGAGACGCTTCGCGGTCTGCCGGCCGACGAGACTCTCGAGCTCCTCGTTCAGTCGTACTTTAAGAACGTCCATGACGACTACCCTCTGTTCCACCGAGCAACCTTTGAAGACGAGTACGAACTCTACATTGTCCAAGCCAGACGCCGGCTGCAGTTTCTGCCCCAGAGCCAAGCCCAACCGCAGAATCGAAGCAACGCCGCTCCCGACTGGGGCTGGATGGGCTGCCTGCACATGATACTCGTCTTCGGCTCCATCGCCCGCCCCGACATCCCCGGCGTCGACCATTCGCACCTGCGGCGGCGCTCGGTGGCGGCGGCGCGGACGCTTCTGCCGCAGTTCATCTCCAAGTGCACCCTCTCCAACGTGCGCGTCCTCATGCTCTTGTCGCTCTTCCTCCACAACAACAACGAGCGCAACGCGGCCTGGAACCTCGTCGGGACGGCGACGCGCATCGCCTTTGCCCTCGGTCTGCACCGCAGCGACATGCGCTCTTCGCTGCGCCCGCTCGACCGCGAGGTCCGCAAATGGGTCTTCTGCACGCTCTACTCCTTTGAGCAGTTCCTCGCCTCGAGCCTGGGCCGGCCCAGCGGCCTGCAGGAGATGGACGTCGAGATCGTGCCGCCGCGGGAGGGCTTCCTCGATGCTGGAACGGGCACCGATGCCAAGCTTGTCTTTCTGTCACTGAGGCTGCAGGCCATTCTTGCGCGCACACGCTTCGCCTACGCGCGGCCGCAGCGCCGCCCCGACGCCGAAGGCCAGGACGTCGTGCCGAGGCCGAGCGTCGACGACATCATGCGGTCCCTCGCTGCCTGGAAGCGGGATGTCGCCGAGAACCCCAGCTTCCACATGCCCGACATCCAGACGCGGGTGTCCCTGCGCGGCCGCGGCAGCAGCGCCTCCCTCCACGACGAAGACGGGGATGCCATGGAGTTTGACGAGCTCAAGGTCGTGCTGTCGTGGAAAACGAGGGCGCAGCTGCGCGCCGTGCTCATGCTGCATATCCAGTACCACTACATCGCCATTGTCGCGACGCGGCCCATCCTGCTCCGCGAGATCGCCGCCGCGCGCAAGGCGCTGCGCGACGAGGGCGCTGGGGCGCCACCGCCCGCCATGTCGGCCGTCGCCGATGCCTGTGTGCGCCACGCCGTGCAGCTGACGTACATGGTGCTCTTCCTCGACGGCTTCGAGCTCGTCAACGGGCTTTCTGGCCTCGACGTCTTTTACGCCTACTGCGCTGCCATGGTCCTCATACTGCGGCTGCTGCGCAGGCCGCCTACCGCCGAGGGCGCCGAGGCCTCAGACCAGCAGGAGGAGCAGATCCAGGTTGTCATTCGGGAGCTGGTACGCAAGTCGCAGAGTGTCCTCAACAGGACGAACAAGAGCGGTTCGATGAAGCGGTTCGCCTCGGTCGTCGATGCGTTTGCCGAGTGCACAAGCCAGACGCCGGGGACGCAGGAAGACAAGGTGAGGGCGCTGCCGGGGAGTGCCTGGTCGCGGGGGTTCTCTGGTGGTGGTGTTTCTGCGCTGCCCCGACAGCCTGCGGCTCTTGACGCCGGCCAGTTTCCGTATGGGATGATGGGTACTGGTGTCATGGGTGTGCCGCCAGGACAGGCCTTCTCGATGACTGCGCCGATGGGGTTTGGCCAAGCGACGACATATGGGGTGCCCAACGTGCAGCTTGATGACGGAGGGTTCTACTTCCATCCGTTCAACGGCAGCGAAACGACGGCGCCTCCGGAATGGGGAGATATGGAGATGGTCATGGCCGGGTACGGCATGCCACGATCATAGTTGATGCTGGTGTCTGGGGGGGATCCCGTATACTTCTGAGCGTGGCGTACACACGGTTTCTGGGATATTGATCCATGTCCCTACGCTTCAATCCTAGGTCCAGATATGGACCGGTCAGGCGAGGGAAAACAGTACTCGCACGTTCTGTATTTAAAAAAGCGCTTTGAATTCGTACGCCGCGTTGTTACAATGTGTATCTGAAATCGGGATGCTTCTCTCCCAACCTCCGCACCTCGTCCTCCGGCAGATGCCGCCGATACTCTCTCTCGCCCCTTTCCCGCGCTCGATTCTCCCTCTTGCAACACACCCACATGATGACCGCCATGGCGATGCCCACGGCCTGAAATCCGATGCACGTGCTGATGCCCGCCACGTACTGCGGCTCGTCCTTGGCGGGAAACACGACGGCCGAGATGATGCCGCCGAGCTGACCACAGCTGATGGCGAACGCCGTCGCCGTGCCGCGCTTCACGTTGCCGACGACCTGGTTGACACTGCGAAGAAGACAGAGTCAGTCTTTCATCCCAGAAAGATTGTCTTTCTGCCGCCACAGGACAAAACATGGGACGAGCAAACTCACGTCCAAGCAATGACGAGCGGCTGGCACACGTAAATGCCCACGGCCGCAAGATACAGCCCCGCATAGCGCACCCCTCCGTCCGTCGGCACCATGACGAGGAGCAGGCCGACGATGCTCGTCGCGAAGCCGCCGAGACAGTAGACGCCGCGGCGCCTCGTGCGGTCCGAAACGACACCGACAAGGACGGACACGACGCCCGACGCGATGCGCACGGGCGTCGACAGCAGATTGGACTTGAGCGGGCCCCAGCCAAAGGTGCGCAGGATGGTCGGCGTGAAGACGGCGATGCTGTAGGCCGTGACGCAGACGGCGAGGTAGAGGACGCCGCCCGCCAGGACCTTGCCGTCGCGCAGCGCGCGCAGCACGCGGCGCGGCGTCATGGGCTCGTGGCCGAGGCCGCGGGCGTCGTGTTCGAGGCGCGCCAGCCAGAGGGCGCGCTCGGCGTCCGCGAGAAAGGGCTCGCGGTGCGGAAAGTCGGGCACGTAGCGCAGGGCCAGGAGGGCGGCGGCGCAGGTGAAGGCGCCCTCGAGCCAGAAGATCCAGCGCCAGCCCGAGGCGGCGCGGACGCCGTCGAGGGCCCCGAGACCGGCGCCGAGGAGGCCCGAGACGGAGCCGGCTATGTCGTTGGCGAGCAGGAAGAGGGCGGTGCGGGTGAGGAGCGCGTGGCGTGGGTACCAGGTGGCCAGGAGGAAGAGGCAGCCGGGGAACATGCCGGCCTCGAAGACGCCGAGCAGGACGCGGGCCGCGAGGAGGTGGGCGAACCGCGTCGAGAAGCCGGCGAGCGTGATGGTCACTGGAGGGCGCTCTGTTAGTCTTGCCGATAGCAGGGGCGGGGACTCCGAGGGACGTACGGCCCCAGAGGAAGACGAGCGAGGCAATGTAGTAGCGCGGCTTCAGGCGGTTGAGGAGCATGTTGGACGGAATCTCGAGGAGCATGTAGGGGATGTAGAAGACGAGCACGGCGAGGTTATAGTCATACCCCGCCATGCCGAGGTCGGCTTCGAGGTGCCACAGCCTGGCATTGCCAATGTTGACGCGGTCGAGGAACGTAATGGTGTAGAGAAAGATGAAGAGCGGGATGATGCGCAGGTCGATTTTGCGTGTCAGCGTGCGCAGGGCGACGGCGTCCACGTCGCTGGACTGGTGGTTTGTGTCTGATGCCGACCTCACAGGCGTTGCCGTCGTCGGCGAAGGGCTCCGTGATTTGGACATGTCACGTCGTGTACTGTGCGATCCCGATCTTCGACCTGTCTGTCTCTTGGTTTCCATCTCGGCAATCTTCCTCGAACGTTCATGTTCGCCTTTTTGAAGCCCCCTTCAACCTTGCAGGCCCTGGATCGTCTCCACCGGCACAGATATTGAGTTTGACCCGGTCGGCCTGACGTGGTGATCTTGGTCGTCAGAAGCACACTAGCGCTCCCAGCAGCTTCATCCGGGCCATCGGATTCCGGGGTCCGGCGCCCGCTTCCCTTGTGGGTTTTGCTACCATGGCGCACGGAACATGCCTGGTCGGCCTTGCGCGGCCATGGAGATGACATGTCGCCCAACGACGCCATATGTCTAGCAGGCGCTGATCTTCAGTTTGCACGTGCTGGTCACTCGTGCGTCGACGGGGCACCTCTGGATGCCGTGTGCCGCAGAGTCATGGAAGGCTGCTGGATCGGAGGGACCATGGGGATTTGATGTGACGTGTAGCGTGCGCCAGTGCTGGCCATCACCAGCGTTGGCTGGCGCTTCGGGCTGACAGATGGCTGACAGACATGTAAGCGGCGGCCATCGTGCTGAGCTTTGCCGATGTTTGTCTATACGCTACGTGAGGCATCGAAGATCACTAGGCACCAGGTGGTACAGTATATGGAGTGTATTGGGTCTACCTAATAACCTTTTGCGCATGGGCCTCTGGAAGACCTGTGGACGTTCTGCCACAGTCACGACGTGCCATTGGCACCATGTGTCGGATTGGTCCCGTCCATCCCCATTCCACCCAAGTCAGAAAACGCCAGTCGTAGCAGAGAGGGTATCGCAAGAGTTGTACACGCGCTGAGAACGCCGAAAGGTGGTCGTGTCATGCAACGAAGCACCGCCCATGAGGCCATGCTGAGCCGCACTTTGGGCGGTTCCGAGTGAGCTGAGTGCCTTGAGTCGAGTCGAGTCGAGTGGTGCCACAGCCTTCATGAGATGTCTCGGAAATAACCGGGTTTGGTTGATTTCACGGCTGAGTCACCCACGGCTGGCATCGGGCTCCTGTCGTCTCATCTGGTTGCACCAACTTTATTTTTTTCCGTGCCTCATGAGGCTCAAAGTGGGAGCTGACGAAAAAAGCAGTGCTTGCATGCTCGTCTGGTTGTGTGACGTTCACTCTAGAGGCATGTGGTGCACTCGTGGTGGCCGCACGAAGGGCACGAGTTGCTGATGACGATCATGCTTCCGCACTTGCAGCAAGAAGGGCAGCCCATTGTGACGGTTTGGTGTTTTGGTGTTTGGAGGTGGAAAGAGATTTGGTGCCGTTGAACGTAGGCGTAGTAGCTTGAAGCGCTATGTGGTCGGCTTGTTGCTTGGTTTTGTTTTGCGAGAGGAAACGTAGATTGGCGATGTTGGAGTGAAGGGTGAAGATGAAGGCGCTTTCCTCTCACAAAAGGAGGACGGAACCATCGGTCTTATACTTCTCAGATGCAACCACCAGACACGACACCACGCCATGAGAAAGGCCGAAAAGAAGGCAGCCAGCTCCGTCCGCGGATCAGGCCGGGAACAGCGCTGCCATGCGTGGCGAATGACAGCGCATCCAATCCAGCGAGCTTAAACGCTCATGGAGATCGTGTACGTCGCACAGGCTGGCCGGGGAGCAGGGGGCCAGAGAGACACAGAGAGAGTGAAAGAGAGAGGCTCAGACGCAGCCGGGAGGGGCATCCCTGGCGCCGGACGAGATGATGAGCGCGCGACAGTCGGAAAGAGACAGAGAGAGGCCGAAACACATGAAGATTGTCCGCCTCTGGCTGGCGGACGTCATTTTCGTTACCCTCACGGTTCAGGTAATGCAGGGAATGCCGCACCCTGGCGTTTGCGCACAAGGGGTCCTGGGGCCCGGTTCCATATTTTTTTTTTGTTCCTCCCCAATCCCATCCCTTTTCCTCCTCTTCCTCCTGACAAGACCGGACGGCTGGGTACTGTGAGGCGTCGGATTGGACAGGCAGCTTGCAGGAGAGGATTGAGGAGGGGGGCCTCATCCCCCACGCTGCTTGGCTTGGTCTTCGACTTTGACCTCGACCTTGGCCTTGGCCTGGTACTGCCGATGGATGGCGGCCCCCGCAGCGAGGCTAAAAAGGCAGTACAAGCTAAGGTCAGGATGCAGGACGCAGGTCTGTGCATTCATGGAACGGCATGCAGGTGGTGGGAACGAGCTTTTGACGAGTCGGGTTGGACGCAGCTGACGGTGCGGCTGGCGGCGAGCAAAGCCAAGGAGCCAAGAGGGCTGCGACGGGCGACGCATGAGGGCATTGATTGGCCGATGGCGGCAATGCACATGGTGAAAGCAAAAAGCGCCGGAGGGGTAGAATCGTGGAGTAGCGCGAATCATGTGGGTGCTGGGCGCCAGATGTCGCGGCGGAGGCTGAGGGACCGAGACATGAGCATCATGTCTGGCGATCGATGGATGAAGATGCGCAGTGGCGAGCGCAAACATGGTATCCTCCAGACGCAGAGTCCATTGCCTTGCATCAGTGCTTCAGGACGAAGAGAGATGAAGCACAGCACGCTGCGGCCTGTGCCAGCCAGCGGGTGGGCGAGAGGCGAGAGACAGAGACTCTACGTCAGACAGCAGCGAGAGCAACTAGGCTTGGCGCTTTCGGTGACTAGCGGCGAGCGTTGAGAGGTGGATTGCGGGGTTTGCGGGGTGTATGGTTTCGGCTGTGTTCGAGGGTGGCATGGCGAGGATGGAGATGATGGATGCGTTCGAGTCGGGCACATTCGGGGAGAGTCGTTGGGAATGTCAGTCACGGCGACGTCGTCTCGAATGGGGGGGGGGGGGGGGGGCGGCGAGCGATCGCCAGATGCATCACACGATGGGAATGATCAGAGGGAAAAGGACCAATGGCACTATCGGAGCACCTTGGGGAAGGACCAGTGGCTCTATCGAGCACCTTGGGAAGGACCAATGGCTATATCGAGCACCTTGGGAAGGACCAATGGCCCTATCGATCACCTTGAGAAGGAGAAAGGAGACCAATGGCAGGTGCTAGGGACGGCCTTTGTTAGTCATTCTCATTGGTCACTATCGAGCACCGAGCACCTTGGGGAAGGCGGAGAAAGAGAGGCTTCATCATGTGACTCGAGGGACACAAGCGGTGGTCCGAGCGGCCTCTCCCTCTCTTCTCCCAGACACACCCTGGCTGCCTGGCCATCACGACCTGCATTTGGAGCCCCCATGCTGCCGAGCATGGTGCCTAGCGGTGCAGACACCCACCATCAGCGCCATCAAAAATCAAAAGCCCATCGAACGGCATCACGGCAAATCACCAGGCTTCAGTCCTCTAGTATCGCCCATACATACTTGCAGGCCGAAGTTTCGCGGAGGTCCCACGTCGCGACCCACCAGTTCACCCCCCAGCTGTGCCACAGGCAACTTCTCAGGTACAAGCTGTCACCGCGTGAGGCCTGGCAGCCAGCTGTCAGCCCAAAATCACGGCTGCACCCCTTGTCGAGTTAAGGTACTTGCCCCCACCGCGATATTTACCGTACCGGACGGTACACCAGGTTTGATCTGTGGCTTCCATCACTCACATGCCCAAGGTCGCATCTGGCCCGAAGGCAGGCTGATTAGTCAGCCATAGCAACGTCGGGGGCAGGAGGCACATGCATTGAGCGGGTATGGCTACTTCAGCCCGAGAAAGCGGGTTCCATACCTCGTTTATGCACAGGCGTCAGGGTTAGGACCAACTACAGGTGAGAATATCGCAATATGGATATAGTGAGAAGCTCGGCAGCCTCCGATGCCGGGTCTCGCATCAGCCCCCTCCTTTTGAAGAACCAACAGCATGAAGTATTTTCATGAGTTGGAGTTCAGTGGCGCAATGGCTGACAATCCTACCGTTTTTGGGCATTTCCCTGGCTTGTTCGCTTCACGTTGTGAGGGTGTCGGCAACCAGACATGACTGATGAAGCCTCAACTATCTACCATTTGACAAGTATGAAGAAGCCGGTGGATTTCCACCACAAGTCTGGCTCGACCTCTGTGCTCTCTACCTAGTACTAGTAGTCAGTATCTGTCAGTGCTTGGTTTGGAGCAGAGTGAAGAGGTCTCCTACACATAGTCCGTAGCGGTTTACAATAGATAGGAGGCCGGAATACATCTGAAGTCTAGCCCTCCGCAGCTAAGAGGGCACTCTGCAGGCCTTGTATACGCTCTCGTAGTCCTTAGCCCCTGAATTAGGCTCCCTGTGATGTGGCTTTGAGGGGTCTCCTGATACCTTTATCACGCATGCGTCTCATTCAAAATGAGTTTCACCCTAGTCTTCCTCAGCTTGATTGCTGGCGTCTCTGCTATTGATAGTTGGCTCAAGTGAAGTGCTACTAACTGCAGCGGCCAGGATAGCATTCTTCATTTAAACGTGAACACCAATATGTGCCCCTTCATCTCAGGCCAGGTGGGCAGCCCTTTCTTGAGCATCGATTTCAGGCAGATCCCAGCCAACTGGCCATCAAGGTAGCCAGCGCGGTCAGATTCTTGCGACACAAGCCAGTGGTGGGCAGGTCAACGTCTGTCTTTCTAAGGGGAAGTACGGAGGTGGTGGCTACCACTTCATCAACGGAAGACGCGCCTCGCCCGCCGAGGCTGATCGTGAGGGCACCGTGCGACAATCCATGCTGTCCTTCAGCGACCGGGCCTATTACGACCTCACAAACTTGGATGAAGCTTCTTATCGTGAAATGATACGTGAACTCCTGTCATGCGGAATCTTTTATAAGTCCTGAGCTAACTCTGTTATAGTAAGTCTAGGCCTTGTCGTCAGATTACCTGATTATAAATACGCACTTCGCTCATGCTCCCCACTGTCCCTCAAGTACTGCTTATTCTGTCCCAGTTACCTTTGCTAAAACTCTCTCTCTCCTTTGGAACTGACATTACCGCAGCTAACGGCTACTCCACTGACGTCCCTGAGAAGTTCAGCGCAAACAGGCTGAAGTAAAACCCCCCCCTGCCTCGCCTTTTGAGTGCTTTGCGAGGTACATGACATTGGACGGGAATTGGTCAACTTCGTATTTCTACTTCTCAGGCAGTGGGCGGCATAGCACTGGTCTTCAACTAGTATGGATATTTGGCATTCAACTGCCATTCCACTTGGGTCATCTACTCTCGGCTTACATGCTGATTGTATCGTAAATAAAGGGGATCCAAGATTTGACGGCAGCTTGAATAGAGCAATCGACGTTTTGAGCATCTGCTCATCAAGTGTTTTGTGGACTTACGTGAGGTCGCCGTGATGAGGGAAGACACCGGAGGATATTGCCGCGAACCCAATACTGCTCAACTGTCTGAGTTGGTGATTTCGCCGACACG